TGGTCCAATTTCAACTACTAGGCGCGGTGAACTCTGGTATTTGTAACCGTATGAATTTACTTACAATTTTCTTAATAATCTAAGCAGTGACATTATACGTTAAGCACATGCTTTTACCTTCGGCATTGCTTGCATTCAGGCCTTATGCAGTCACAATTTTTTTTTATTTCGACTTCAGTACATTGAAAAACTATTAAATTCACTGCAAATGCGAAAAAAATACCATATCACTTTTCTTAGAACATCTATTCTCGACACATTTACGAAGTAGGTTCATTCCTTTAGTATATAAATCTATACATATAATAAAATTGTAACTAAGTCGAATCTGTACATTGAATATTTTTTGAAAAATCTGATTGAAATAGACATTATATCGATACAGAGTCCGAATCCATAGTTTTTAGAATTTTTGTCTATCAGTCTGTTTGTCTGTTACCGCATCACGAGAAAACCAGTGAACAGATTTTGATGAAGTTTGGTATGATGATAGCTGGTTATCCGGGTCAACATATAGGTTACTTTTTACCGCGAGAAGATGTCTCATTTCTGAGAAAAAATACAAAATCTGCAATGTAAGAGTAAACAAATATGTAAAACCTAAGAATTTGGTTTTTGGTCATATGAACGCGGGCGCGGGCAATGCTAGTTCACTGTAAACGTAAGGCCACAAAACTGTGTATTAATCAAATGTCAAGAGTTCAATACCACAAATTTTTTCAAATGCTACGTCAAGATTAATCACTACTTACGTCTTTATACATTATATTTATATGAATAAAATAGTATTATAAATCCTTACTTCCTTATATTTACCAATATTGAGCGCGAAATTGTGTTTGTTGGTTTGTTGATCGATTTTGCTTTGTTTTGAAAGTTTTTTTAAAATAGTCAATTAAAACGTTCCCTGATGTTATTATGTTGCAAAAAAAATATGTACATATTCGTCATAGAAATGCACTTACATGAGGTAATTGTTAAAAAGTCTAGTACTTGCCTATATATAATATTAATTTAATCTTATTTCACATATTAATATTACTTTATATTTATTACTATATATAATATCTCATTTCTGAGAAAAATACAAAAACTGCATTGTAAGAGTTTACTAATATGTAAAACCTAAGAATTTGGTGATTGGTTATCTGAACGCGGGCGGAGCCGCGGGCAATGCTAGTAAGTTTTAAAATTATTGCATACCTATAGATGAGAAACGTAATAACAACCGTAGTATAAGATATAATACTTTACTTATATGAAACATTCTATTATGTAATTTTGCTGTTAACTAAGTAAAATCGAGCCGAGTAATTATGTTATAAATAGTAAAACTAGTTAAGTCTCAAGACTATCTGCAATTATAGTAAGCGAATGTGAAAGATGGTTTAGCCCAATTAACTGAGGTTGACCCTGCGCCAGTGAAGGGTTAGGCTGTTAACCTATAGCCAATGCTAATTTTATGATGAAATTCCTTATACAATTTTATGATAGACATGTTTTTTAGATATACATCTATGCTAATATTATACGAAGACACGTTTGGCTCATTTTGTAATGACCCTACTTGCTGCGCCGGCAGTCTCGGGTTTGAGTCCCGCTGGGGGCATTCATTTGTGTGATGAGCACGAATGTTTGTACTCCAGTCATGGATATTTATATTTATAATATTTATGTAATTAAAGTTATATATGTGTGGTGTATCAACTATCTGGTATCCATAACACAAGCCTCGTAACTTACCATGGAACTAGATGGTGTTGTGTGTTAATGTCCTGACATATTTAATAAAGAATGTGAAAGTTTGTGAGTATGGATGTATGGATGTATGATTGTTACTCTTTCACGCCAAGATGGCTGAACGGATCTAGATGAAATTTGTCATAGAGATAGATTATAGTATGGAATAACACATAAGCTACTTTTTATCCCGGAAAAATGTACAGTTCCCGTGGGATAGGTTTGTTTTTGTTTTCCTAGAGGTGAACCCGGGCGAAGCGAGGTTGAGCCGCTAGTACTTTATAAATTATTTATTCTGTTCGTTTGAGTTAATTGAACAAAACTTTTTATATATTTATTATACTAGAGACTCACTCTCGCTTGGGTTCGCCTCTAGAAAAACAAAAACAAATCTATCTCAGGGGAGCCGTACATCTTTCTGGGATAAAAAGTAACCTATGTGCTATTTCAAACTATAATCTACCTCTGTGCTAAATTTCATCTATATAGATTTGTTCAGCCCTTCTGGCGTGATTGAGTAACAAACATCCATCCAAAAATCCAATCGTCTATGCTTTCATATTTATAATATTAGTAAGATTTTATAAGCTACCTGTTATAGCTATACAATTCAATAAAACGAATGCATTTAATAAATTGTGAAGAAATTTAATAAAGTTGAGCGTAGAGCTGCTGGCAGTCGAAAGTATTTTGCAGTAGACAGTAGTCCATAATAATACTATAAATATGAAAGAGTGTTTGCTTACCTTTCACTTCGCAACAGATTGATATCATTTTTGGTGTGGATATATTTATGTAGTTAGGGGACTGACCTGAGGAAATATTTCATTCGCACGAAAAAGTAGGTTAAAATAAAACTTATATACAGGAATTTTGATTGAAATTATTTATTCTATACGAAGTATGTTTGAGGTTTTTTTAAACAGGTCATAACCTATCTAATTACATATTTACCAAATTTCATAGAAATTTGTCCAACCATTCAGTAAGCAACATACGTAAGGGGTAATACACACACACACACACACATATATATATATATATGTGTGTGTGTGTGTGTGTGTGTGTGTGTGTGTGTGTGTATACATTATGTTATAAATAAAGTCTGTCTTTGATTTAAAACACGTTTCCTTTAAAACTTTTAATATGTCCATTTATGCGATTCCAAAACATAAAATGTTTTTATGACTTTTCTATTATGAAATATGTCTGCTAGTTTTATTTTTAAAATAACTGGCAATCATCTATACTAATGTTATAAAGGTGCAGAGTTTGTTTGTTTGTTTGTTTGTTTAAACGCGCTAATCTCAGGAAGTAATCCGATTTAAAAGATTCTTTTTGCATTAAATAGTCCGGTTGTTAGGTAATGCTTTAGGCTATATATCATATAATATAGTAATAATCTATTTATTCCATACTAACCGTTAAAACGTTCCTAGAGACGAACCCGGGCGAACATCATATACCTAATATACTTTTCTTTGTAACATATTTGTATGATTGGTATATTATAGGAAAAGATTGAGAAATTATTTCTACACAAAAAATAATAATAATTAAGTATCAAAATAAAAATATTTTAATTACTATTATAATAAACACTTATGACTAATTGAATTAGAGTACACACTCAGTTCGCTCGATTACGAAATACCATTTTATTTTTTGTTTAGAAATAATTGGCCTTTCTATTCCATAACTTCAAAGTGTAATAAGTCACATCAGACAGTTGAGTAATTAATTAAACAATATTAATTTGTAGCATCCCGCGGTCTCAGACGCCATCTTAAAAAGGTCACTGAACGGTTGCGCCATATCTGTTTTTATAGTTGCTAAGTCGTTTTTTTAAACTTCTAATATCGCACACATTTAGATTTTGATCAAAATAGTGAGGTTTTAATATTTAGATTGTTTTGGAAGTGCAAATGTTGCTAAATGATTTTGTTTGGGTACAAATTATCAATTATTTACGAATGCAGTGATAATAATTTATGAAGATCTAGATTGCCTACATGATTTGAGTACAGAAAGAGGATCGACATTTTTTTATGGTAGTGGAGGGATATAATTTCCAGTATCTCGGTTTTAATTTCAATAAATGGTCCAAAAAGTTTATACTTTTAATACCTTTATGATTTGTACATATACTAGGTACGTTTTAACAGTTAGTATGGAATAGATAGTCGATCTCTTGCTCTGTGAAAAACAAAAACAAATCTATCCCATGGGAACCGTACAATTTTCCGGGATAAAACGTAATATATGTGCTTTTTCAGATTATAATGTATATTTGTGCCAAATTTCATCCATATCTATTCAGTCGTACTGGCGTGATTGAGTAACAAACATCCATCAATCCAAATTTCCCATTTATATATTAGTAGGATTATATCTTTATGATTGGATTTACTTATATATGACTAAGGTCTTAAGGATTAGTATATATATATTGTGTTCAGTGACAAACGAGCAGACAAACCACCTGATGGAAAGCAGTACGTGTGGCCCATAACACCTACGGTTCATGCACTTAGGTTTTATGTAACAAAAATGCAGAACCGCAGGTGCGTTGTCACTGTAAGGACTAAGATGATATGCCTCTTACCTGTAATTGCGCTGGCTGCCTTATCCTTCAAACCGGAACACAACAATGTAATCATTGTTGCTTGGCGGGAGAAATAGATAAGGGTGTGGTACCCGTCCAGTCGGACTCCTCAAGCTTGACAGAGTCCTACCACCGGTAAAAATATATAAGTAGGTACCAAACCTGTTCTACATTTAGATAGTTAACTTTTGTAAATCAAATCCAGAAGACCGTTTAATTAGTCCGTGCGACTTCAAAAGCCCAAATTAGCTTCACATTTGACGTTTTCGTGTCTCACTTGTAAATGGGAGGTTATTTGATCGTGTTGTTGGACAGGAATGTTGTCACCAACAAATTTTAGTCGCAGACCGGTATAAAGTACCGGTATAGCTATAGTCCCTACAAATCAAACTTCCCAAGACAGAATTGTTGAAAACAAGTGGAATTGTTGCTATTAAACTACTGCCAAATTCAACTTCCTTATTAAAAATATTAACCATTTCCTGAAATAAATTCATGCGTATCAAAATACTCAGTCAACACCAAACGCCGGTAACTTCGTTTTCTTCCGTCGTACTCAGCGACCATTCAGTTCAACAATACGAAATCGTTCAATGAATTTCGTGTAAGTCGACACGTAATTGGTGATGTGGGACAAAAAGTGGTTATATCTTAAATGGTACGCGCGTTCTCTAAACGGACAGAAATAGCCGACAAAAAAGTCGCCGCTCGCGACATGTGTCTGAGTCGCGCGACAAAAACACGACGGGCGGGTAAGACACCGAACGAGAGGCCACCGGCTGGTAAACTTTTATCGAATGAAACAAAGGATCAATGATCGACCGTTTAACTTTTTATTTCAATTTAATTAGTCGTAAACAGCTCTAGTGGCTAGTGTGAGAATGATAAATAACATGAAAAAAAGGAGTTTCTACAACCAATATGTGGTATTAATGAGATGTTGATTCCCTAGCGAATGCTCGCAATTTTAATAATACTTTGTGATATTATACATTGTGTGCTGCACATAATAATTAGATATCAGTATCTTGTTCCCCACACGCATACTCTTTCATTGTCAGATGGCGGTCTTACTATATAATTTTTTTATGGCAAAATAAAATATTTTCTCGTGGAAATCAGGCGATCAAAAATGTCAATTAGTTTTTGTTTACATTTAATGTCGGTTTGAAACACATATCTTGTCATATTACTGGTAATTTTGTAAGTCTTGAATTGTAATAAACGAAGCAATCATTTCTAGTTATATTTATTAAGAATTAACTTATGAACGTATACTTAATTTTTTTATTATTTGTGTATATGTCACGTTATCTATAGGTACTAATATTATAAAGAGGTAATGTTTGTGAGTTTGTGACGTTGTATGGAATAATCTCTGGATCTACTAAGCCGATTTAGATAAAATATCGTAAGAAGATAGGTTGAGACCCTGAGACGGAAATTATCGGCAAAATGGGATGAAATTTTGTATGGGGAATCAAGTTAGGGAGGAACCGTGTTTCGTTTTATTTGGAAAACTTGTTAAGTTTAATTATTTCTTAAACGATTTGTTATCATATTCTATATCATAAGATATTATTTTAAAGTACAAATAATCAGGAAATCTGACATTACCAGAGTAATGATAAGGTTTTATTGATCGATTGTCTTGACATTTACCCATTTAACATTCCTAAACAGTTATTTAAAAGCCTTTTCATGACTTACAACAAAAATAATTCAAAAGAAACGCATAAAATAAACGCTAAATGATTAATACAAGGGGACATGAGTAAAATTTATGTATATAAAAAATATATTTATTAGGACTTAGGGTTATTATTCACGATACATCCAATATTGAAAAGCCATATTTCATAGCGTATTTAGTGTTGCCAGTGTAATTAGAGGTAAATAATATACTGCTCGTAGAGACTTATGGTTGCAACATCGATAAGAAATATAACAGTGGCACATTCATATCCTTATTTGTGGTACACGTATCAATATTTATTGCTCGTAAAATATTCAAGGGAAAAATAAAAGAATTTAACCGTCGCTTCGGCGGCTTTTTAAATGATAGTTTTTACAATATTTGTTTTATTATCGAATTAAATTTTATGTGTTGCTTAAATTTATTTTAAAGTAATATATGTAGATGCAACAAACATGAGATCTTATTTAAAGTTAAAATTCATTTTTTATTTAGTATTAGCGATTTACACTTGCTTCTTCTCGCTCGAGTAAATCCCTAGGATTCTTTTCTATTTATTATAATATTGTATAAAAACAGCGCCATCTTTTAGAAAATTGTATTATTAACAGTAGCCTATGTGTTACTCCAGGTCACATTCTTTTTGCTTACCAAATTTTATCTAAATTTGTCCAGCTATTTTAGCGTTCAGTCGAAAAAAATATATACCTACGTCCTACAATCTAAATATACTTTTTTTTGATAATAATGATAATATGTGATTATGGTGTTACCCACTTACCTTAAAATCAACACACTAAGAAAAGTTCACAAAGGAGATTTGGAAATATGTAAGTAATCTCATTGTTTTATTGCCATTCATAAAATCCAGGTCTACTTACCCGCAATAATTAACAAACCTGGCGGACTATGGCCTAGTTCATCGCACTAAGAAATACTAAATTATATAAATACATAAAAATTGTAATTAGTAAGTATCTATAAATAATCTAAATAATATAATATAAAAAAAATGTCATCTGATATCCGACCAAAATGCTGTCTTTGATATAAGTATAATAATGCCATCCCTCAAGTGCACACTTCATCTCTATCACTGTCATACTCCGGTGAGATCTCCGAAGCACGGGTGTAAAACTCCACAGACTTCCCAACACGGGCTATTACCGAGAATTTCTTGACCGAATAACTCAATTACTTTATTTGATCCACCCGGGACTCGAACCCAGTACACTGCGGATATGCGGTTACATGCTAGCTACTAGACCATCGAGGTAAAAGTGTAAAATAAACAGTTAGAATAACTGTTTCACAGTTTAAGATGACTTTGAGATAGCACTATTTAAAGTGTTGCCACTAAAACATCCAGGAAGGTCGCTTGGCACTTCATAATCGCGGGTTGGAGGTCGTCGTATTTATAGCTTGTATGTCACAGACGAATGAATTGCTTAGATTAATGAAACGTGACTATGGATACAGTTTTATCAATATTTTGTATTTTATTATTATTTAATTCATACACATGGTAGGCTTTGTTTTATTGTTTAATAATATATACTCTTAGAAATCAATGATTTTTCAAGCTATTAGATTATCATTGGTTTTTGTTCAAATGAGATGTTTGTGTACAAAAATTAAATTTTTGCTAAACCAAAAACATTTTTTATAATATCTAAATCCTAAATTTTATTGTGATTATATTTAATTGTCGTGGCGAAGTAATAACATTATTAATTTTATATTTTTTCTAGACAAGGAAATTGTTTATTTTAGTGGTACAGAAATACCTACATATGATGTGATATTTGATCCCATAATATAGAGATTTTCGGTTTTTAACACATAGGTAAAGTACTAAATTTGGTAAACAAACAATAACTTCTTTGTAAATGTTCTTGCAAGTAATTACTCTGTGCAAGAGTTTATGACTGAATTCTAAACAAGCATATAAACATTATGGTTCTCTCAACAAATCCTGTCTTCCAGCTATATCCCAAACTGGCATTAAGCAACATATGTTATTTTCTAAATTTAATTTAAATAGTAATAAAATATGTAAGTGTTTTTTAACATTTTCTTGAACTGGAATCAAATCTCTTTTCTTTTTTTTTCAGCCTATCTTCATACACTGATGTACCAAGGCGTCTTGATAGAGCACCAGCCATTTCTATCTCGGGAAGCCATTTTTCATCTGCTGCGGTGCTTCAAACCTAGAATCAAGTAAATATGATCTATACTATAGAATTACCTTCGGTTTGCTCGGGTGTGTTCGTTAGGCTCAGTTTGTAGTGACCCTATTTGCCGTGACAGCGGTCGCGGGTTCGAGTCCCGCTGGGGAAATTCATTTGTGTGATGAGCACGAATGTTTGTACTCCAGTCATGAGTGTTTGTATTTATAATATGTATGTATTTAATGTTATATATGTGTAGTGCATCAACTATCTGGTATACATAACACAAGTCTCGTAGTTTATCATGGAACTTGATGGTGCTGTGTGTTAATGTTCCAATATATTTATTTCTTTAGTACCTAACAGTAGTCTATGTCTAGGTCATAGCCCATTTGTGTACTAAATTTCATTCGCATTCGTAAAACGGTTTCCGCTTGAAAGATTATTATAAAACAAACACTGTACACACATATAGGTATACATACAACCTTTTGAATTTATAATAACAATCTGATTTCGACCTCTAAACTATATTTAAAATACCTGAGCTTTAATCTGAAAATAGCATATACAGCAGTACAGTTGCCACACAATGCAATTTATCAAATTTTATTCCTTTGCATCGCTACTTTGTCTCTTCTTGAACATAATTAATTTAATATAATGTTAATTGTCTTTTCATATTTTTTATTGTTTCAGATACCGACCTGAATTGATTGCTTGGCATAAATATTAACTTTCCATTTTAAATGCAGTAAAATATTAATGAGTTCAGTACCGGACGCACGGCTGTACAAATCAAGTCAGACATCAAGTGAGACATTTTAATTTATTATTTTAAATAATTATTTTTAACTTAAAAGGTACATACACTGGCTTCAACATAAATTTACATAATTTAGATTAACTTGCAGACGGTAATATATATTTTTGAAATTTATATGTGAATACCGTGATTATTATGTCTCTATATGCCTATGTGCTACTCTAGGTATAATCTATTTGTACATTCATTTCTTTCATTCATTCATTCATTGAAAGGGTAACAAGCATACATACATATTTCTACATTTACAATACTACTCCGATTTAAGTCTTAAAATTTAAAAATAAACTTTTTCCCAGCAACGTGATTTATTCTCTCAGGCTTATACGACAAGACGAATATCGTGAAGATATGTGTATATTGTATGCGTAATGTTTGTTTGAAATAAAAAAAAAACTCGACATTGCGATTAAACGGAGAAATGCGGCTAACATTCTCGCCACTGCTCCAAGCGCATAACGTGTAGCTTATTATAAAGTACTTTTTTTATATATACCTATGCTAATATTATAAAGAGAGAAGATTTAATTTTTTGTTTGTTTGTACTAAATGGGCTCTGAAAATTCTGAACCGGTTTAAATGAAATTTTGTAATAATATAGTCTGATATCCTAGGAAGGACATAGGATACGTTGTATGAGGAATCAACCTAGGGGAAATTTCACCTAAATCTGTCCAGCCGTTTAAGCGTTAAGGAGTAACAAACACACACATGCACACATGCACACACATACACACACTTACAAATCTTTCGCTACACATAATACATAGCATAATAGCAGTGAAATATGAAAATTTTCATTTGTTTCTTGAAAAATTATAAAAACAACGAAATGGCTATGAAATCATTATGTTATTGCCAATACTTAATTTTTAATACGTATGTTTGTAAAATTAAATAATACAGGTGTCTAAAAATCGATTAAAATTGAAGTTTAACATTATAAGACATTTAAATTTTTATAGCTCAAGTTACTAAAGTTTTGTAAATAATAAGGCAAATCTATCTACCATAACTTCTTTATTTTCTAATTATATTTTACTGGAATATTTAAAACTTCACTTTGTAATTATTTAAGTAACATTTAAGAAATTGTTAGAAATTAAAATTGGTCCATAACAATGTAAATGTTTTATTGCTTGTACGTACGCGAGAATCGCTTGTGGCAATTCACATACATTCGCGGAACACTTGGTAACGGCTTAATTCATTTACTGAGCATAACATTTTACTACTAGTTCCCTCCCTTCACATTTTACTACTTCGTATTTTTCTTGATAATAATTTCTTTTTACTAAACACTGTACAAACCTTCACCCATTTAATTTAAAAAAGAAGTTTGCGTGTACTTATGTACGCATGTAAGAAATTATACCTACTTCTTTGGCGTAACAGAATAAAAATAGCTAAAGATTTCATCCCGTATCTTTCAGCTAACTTAGTGAGGAAACTTGCATGTCTGAGAGAATCTAGCAAGTTTTCGAAAGATATGTGAAGTTCGCCAACTCGCACGTGGCCAGCGTGGTGGACTATGGCCTTTTTTTTTTGTTTTCGTTGGGAAATGCATTTACGCACGACGTGTGGGACTCACCGGCGTAATACAGCCAGTACTACCCACTAAAACCCAACAAAACCTTCCCCCGTCTTAATGGGGCGTCGCAGGATCGCTTACGCATTCAACTACGACGCCCCGACGGCAGATCTGCCATAGCAGACCACCACAACCATGGAGTTGCTCCACAGTCCACTCTGCTATCAGAGAAGTACCAGGAGCAACCCGCATGGTACACCGCCCTCCGAAGAGGGCCACCTCCCACCGCCCACCGAAGTGGGCAACCTCCCTGTGCGTTTCTTAGCTTCGCGCCCGGTTGGATTGCCGGGCACTACTGAGCCCCCCCACCACGACAAGGTGAACACACGTTGGGGGGGGGGGGGGGTGGTGGACTATGGCCTTGATCAAGATCAATCCATCAAAAAGATCCTGTTGTAGTAATGGAAGGCCCATGCCCAGCAGTGGGACATTAGAAAGGTCTGAATCAAAACATACTTAGGTACATAGTCTCATAATCCGTGTTATAACACTCGCAAACAAAAAATACCTCTAACGATTTTAATAAAGATACTAGTGGATGTAAAACCGCGGTGTAAAGCTATTGTAATATTACATTTAACCTTATCAAAACCCTATAATAGCGATTGTAACAAGTAATGGGGTGCGTTAAGCAACACGCTAATTATAGATTACAGTTAGGCCCTAGTATTGCATCAGAACACTTAAGATGTGCTACACCGACAGACCATCAAAAGTATAGCTATCATTCTAAGTGAAGAAGTTGGAGTAATCTGTGAAATGACTGCAGTTTTTTGTTCTTTTAGGTTTTTGGTCTAGTGGTTAGTGTACATTTGTGGTTTTGAGAAGCTAGTTTAAATGAGGTAGTGGGGTCTTTCGCCAAAAATTGTGTCAGTGACAACCAAGAGTTTCTACTGATACAGTCTTGTGTTTCAGAAAATACGTAAAGAATTTGGAACTTTGATCTTTTACTGCTCCTGTCAGATTCACGCCCCATGAAGCTTTGAGAGTTAGTTTTAATATAAATTTTTCGCACATATGCACTTTACTTACTTAGGCCTAAAATAGTAAAATAAAAACCACCTATTAATTTTACACGTAGGCTTATTAAGAAAAAAAAACTTATTAAGTATAGTTGCAGGAGTTACCAAAAGTTAAACTTAAGTCGAGATAAAGTTTAATATAAAGCTATTGCAGTAGAGGAGAGCCCTAAAACACCTACGCTGTTCGTTAGAATGATTTAGGAAGCTGGAACACGTACATCTTAATGACTTGCTCAATGTAGGTCTACTATAAGTGCACATTTATCCAAAACGTAGGTCTATAATTACTGATGTTATTATCTTTGACGTGGCTTATTAAATTCAAAATTATATTCACTTATACGCATTAATTTATTTATATTTTGACAACGTTTAGTGTGTATGGTACCTAACTACCTACATATATATATATCCAACGCCAACATAATCTCAATCTCAATAATCCTCTTTATTTTTCCAATTAAAAACAGTAAGTAATTAGATGCAACATAGATAATGCTTTTTGAGGTTTATAACAAAATATTATCAACGTTGTCAAATTCAAAATATATTGGGCTTTCAGAGCTTACTATAAAAATAAGACATACATACATACAAAGATAGTTTATCGTTTTATTCTCTTTGACATTAATGTGCTATGTTAATTAATAACACTAACTGTTATAGCTTTTAAAAAAAAATAATTAAAAAATGATATTTGAATTCTTTGAAGTAAAATTGAAACGTCCGTGTCACTAAACATTAAGTTTCGACAGTTTAAACGTTTTTATGTTTTTTAAATAGCACTTATAGAAATTACAATACATTTACTATACGTGACACTGACAAAATGTATTGGGTCTGTTAACGCAACTCTGAGCCACTAAAGAAAAGAAAAAAAAGAAAGTATAAAATTTGTATGTGTATGTATACTCCTTAACGCGGGTTAACGACGGGTTATGATGCTTAGTACACTAATGGACTTTGACCTGCAGTAACATATACGCTACTGTTAAACACCTAATAGCTCTAAGCTAGTATTTCAGATTACAAAAAACCAAACCTTCCAAAAACAAGCGTATATATATATATATATATATATATATATATATATAATAAAATAAAAAAACTCCAAAAATTAAAAAAAATTTTTGGGGTGTCACTTTTAAGGAGTATGAAAAATAGTTTCCGTCCTATTCTCAGATCTACTAATAAACACACAAAATTTCATAAGAATCGGTCAAGCTGTTTCGGAGGAGTTTTGTTACAAACACTGTGACACAAGAATTTTATATATTAGATATATACGAGTATGTATATATTACTAGTAATTATGCCTTAAATAAATAAAAATTATGATTAATAGAAATAATTGGCAGTTGTGAAATAGTTTTCCATATCATTTAACAACCCCTTTCGTCTAGCAACCCCACATATAATATATTTAGCACTTATAAAGAAATTGTATAAGCTGTTTCGTGTAACCGAGCTCTTTCGTGCGGTCGATATAATTACAACATTTTTAACAGAGCAAAGCAAACAAACGATAACGATCTTTTGAAATGATAAACACCAATATCGTAAATTGCGCTGACATTTTGTTAGTAAAATTATAAAAACAAATGTGTCGTTATAATAACAATTTACACTTCACGTGACGGATATGAATTAGCTTTTTGAAAACATAACAAAAAATGATATTTTATGGTGAAAATATCAATCGATTATAGGTTTTTTTTGTTGTAAAAGTTACTTGACTGATAATGAATTTTGTTACTAAGTTAGACGGGCGTTAATATCTTCAAACTGCCTCGTGGTGTAGTGGCTAGCATGTACGAATGTACACCCGGAGGTTCTGGGTTTGAATTCGGGTCGAAGGAACTTTAGTTATAGTCTTTCTGTTAAGAAAACCTCAGTGGCAGCCTGGATTTGGCGGTGTTTCACCCCCGTGCCGAGACACGCACATAAAGTAGTCGATCCTGCACCTGATCCCTTACCGGTCGTGTCGAGTTGTCATCCCACCAGAATTTGAGAGTAACAGGAATACTTGTGCACTATAATTTCTTCTGCGCAGTGGGCAGTCTCAAAATCGTTTGGGAGGATATCATTATCATCATAGCCTTTATTTTATACTTTTTGTCGTGTCCTTTTGTGTTTGTGACTTTTTAATAAATAACTATATACTAAAAAGTGTTTTTAATTTGTTTTTAGAGTTCTGTAAGTAAAATTCAAAAACGATTTTATTTGGCTATTGCTATACATGTGTACAGTAATTTGAATTAGGTTCATTATAACTAGCTATACTATATTAATAG